GGCCCGGGCTGGGGATTTGAACCCGCCGCCTTAGGTGTATGTGGCTGGTGCCTTAGCTGCTTGAGCCACAGGCGCCAAGCCACTCTCTGAGTTTTTTTATTCGAACCATATGTTATTTTCTTCTGAACTTGTTCTCTGCTATTCTGTGATGATTTTAAGATGCTGTTTGCATCAGTCAGTTGGGTTTGGAAGGATTTTGTTGCATCCGCAAGTGCATCCCTGCCTGTCCTTGTCAGCGTATGAGATGAAAGTTTACAAGACTCACTTTACTGTCCTTTTCAGAGAAAGTCTACTTGTACTCAAGTAAAGGCTTGTTTGAGTTTTTATTAAGTGTTAGCAAATACAGAGTTTGTAGCATCAGAGGACTGGCCTCCATCGCAGGTGACTGGAGGATGTCATTGGCTTGTACCATTTGTCCAGTCTTCTCACTGCCTTTTCCATAGACTTCAGCCCAGGCGGAATACCTCTGGTCCAGCTCTTTTCCCCATCTTGAAGTTGGTTGACTCCTTTTGTTCCAGTCACCACGTGGTACATAGCAGGACCTCCTAGGGAGATCCAAAGAGTCCTGGACTTTCAGACATCACCAGCAGCACACCTGCTCCTTTAGGCCTGGCTGGAAAGACATTTGGTTGTCAGGCATCAGGCTCCCCAGGGGTCCAAATGGCTCTGCAGCGCTGCCTCTGATTGCCAGTGAGCTGTGGGTCACACTGACCCTGTGGAGGGTTCTGTCTCTAATGCAGACAAGAAGCAGGCAGCCATGGCAGACTGTCACTTGGGTGGTGGGGGGAGAGGCCTGCCAGGCTCTAAAACCATTCTCTAACTTCACTCTCTTCAATGCACAAATAGAAAGTGACATTACCTATGTTGTGCACTTGGGGAAGCAGAAAAAGCTGATTGCAGCCCTGGAACAGCCTGGAGCTCAGGCCACCTTAGGCTGCACCTGGCCCTGTGGCAGCAAACCGAGAGGACCAAAGCAGTGCCAAGCCTCACCCTGCTCTGCCAATGAGCTGTTCAGGGCACTGTGGGGGTGCACTTCAGCGGAGGACATCCAGAGGGAGGCTCATTCTCTTGATTCAAAGTTTGCTTCTGCCACAAAAAGGCATGACCTTGCCTACACATGTCACAGGGATCTCCCTCCTTTGCAGGCCCCCTGCAGCCAGTATATTTGGTCAATGCAGGTAGCCGGGGTAGAGGACTAAAGGGTCTCACCAGCAGTGTTATGGAGGAAGCCTTGATTTCAATTGTGCGAACTCAGGAAAAATTCACTGGACCTTGCCAGGTCTAAAACTTTCCATGGATTTTCTGAGGAACCACTTTGTCCCCATTCAATGCTAGTGTTCTTGGATGGGGCACCTATCCTTTGGGGTAAGACAGTGACTGTGTTACCTGTGGCCCTGCCATTTCCAGTCACCAAGACATCTTTAGAAGTGTGCCTCCAGGGAGGGAGAGGGTCTTACCTTTGGCCAAATTTGTTGCCTTTTGATTCTGTTAGCCACATCTTATTCTCCAGCGTGTCTAGACAACTGAGGCTCCTTATCTGTACTTTGGATACTGCCTTAAGTGACTGTTTCCCAGTTGCTTTGTCTGCAAGGGAAACAGAACTACCCACAGAGGCCAGTCTGGGGGTTCTGAGGGGCATTGGGGTTTAGGCCACAGCCCCCTTCCCCCTGCTCCCAGTGTATGGGGAGAATGGAGGCTCTGATCAGGCTTGGTGGTGAGGGGAAGAGGTGGCTAAATGCCTGAAGTGATTAAATTTACAATTCATAAATTTATTTAAAACTAAAATCACCAGCGTAAAAGTTACAACCTGTTTCTGAAAGTAAAGAATTCAGCCATCATGGGCCGGGTGAGGTGGCTATAATCCCAGCACTCTGGGAGGCTGAGGCGGGTGGATTGCCTGAACTCAGAGGTTTCAGACCAGCCTGAGCAAGAGCAAGACTCCCATCTCTGAAAATAGCTGGGCATTGTGATGGGCGCCTATAGTCCCAGCTACTCGGAGGCTGAGGCAGTAGAATTGCTTGAACCAAGAATTTGAGGTTGCTGTGAGCTTGGATGCCATGGTACTCTATAAGGGTGACAAAGTAAGACTCTGTCTCAAAAAAAAAAAAAAAAAAAGAATTTAGCCATCATGGGGGAAGGGACAGGGGCTAGAAAGAATGTTAGTCAAAGACTCTTGAGTTGCAGGTGACAGGAACACAGCACAAGCAGCTTAAGCTCTAACAGGGAGCTCAGGTAAAGATATCAGGGTGGGGTTGGGGGTGCAGAGGGGACAATCAAGGACTCATTGCCCCCAGAAGTCCCTCTGCCTGAGTCCAGTCTCCAAGCTAGAAAAAGGCCTCTGGGTGTGTGTGTTCCCCCTCTCAGGTTTCTCTTCTGGCAGGAACTTGTCTGCTGGTATCTGTCATCTAGGCTTTGAAAATAGTCTTTTTTTTTTTTTTGAGACGGAGCCTCAAGCTATCCCCCTGGGCAGAGTGCCATGGCATCACGCTCACAGCAACCTCCAACTCCTGGGCTCAAGCGAGTCTCCTGCCTCAGCCTCCCAAG